CGAATCTGTAGGTAAACGCTGCATATGAATGTTCATCTTCATACGTATTGGTCGCAAGTGCTCATAACGAGTGGAGTATATTTAAATCCGCTCGCCACATCTGAAGGGGAAATTGCTTTTTTCCACTATTTCGTCCTTACTGATCAGATCGAGTCCGTCGTTCTAGAATTCCTGGATGTCCCTGCAACTATTCTTCGAGTGGCACAAAAATATGGTAACTCTAAATATTTCTTCGCACACGGAAATCTAACAATTCGCGTGGGCTATTGTAGTCAAACTATGAGACAGTGCATTACCAGATAGCTCTTTCCACACAGGAAAATTATTGTACTTTGCCCACGCTGAAAACTTTGGATGGCGCTGTAGTCGCTCATTCGCTTTTGCGTTATTTTGCCCAAGTATACAGACGTCGAACAACAGGTGTTTGCAGATCTTCGAATGCCGACGGACCCTTGGTCTATTCATCCTCTCGTGTATTATCCAAGGTGTCTAAAATCTAACAAAATTAGTTTAGTTCAGAATATGAAGTGCATTAAAAGGGCAACTACTTTTGATGCCGAGGCAGTTCACCTTATACAGTTCCCAGCAAGCTAAGAACTGGCATTCATGGGTCGACGGGTTCATTTTCGGGCGTCCGATCATCTCTCATTCCACTCTGTGCAGGAATGGTTCTCGTGTATTCACAGCAGTGTTCCCGATGGGAGCTTCTCACAAGACGGCAACAAAGTTTGAACAAAACTTGGGCGAGCGATCTGTGAGACAGAGTGTTTAATGTATTTTCATTTCACTCGCCTATAAATTTGGACACGGTTTATTCTTCTTTGAGAGATCCCTCAAGTTTGGGAATAAAACTGCGGCTTTGTCGTTGTTTAGTTGCAGGGAAAGAACGCCGTACCTGGTGGTTACAACCGACAATTGAGAAGACTGTACACAAGGTCCATTCTCGGCTGACACCTTCAAAGACGGAACTGTCCTACTGCAAGTAAGGCGGAAAAAGGAACGTTTTGAGAAACCCATCGCAATATATAGGTTGGCGAATACAAATAAGCTACATGTACGTGAGACCA